AAGTCAGAGCACATAGGCAGAATTGGCGAGAAACTAGTTCGCCTTCCTTCTGGAACCCGTGCATTCTGGTATCTCGCCAAGGCTGTCCAGGGGAATTTCTGTCAGCCATCTCTTCCATCTCTACACAGGGAGGACGACTCACTGGCCCATACCGCAAAGGAGAAAGCCGATCTTCTAGGCTCTTTCTTTGCGTCTAACTCGACTCTCGATGACGGGGGGAGTACTCCGCCGACCATCCCGCGGTGTGAGTGCTCCATGCCGGAAGTGCACTTCACACAGCGCTCGGTTCGCAAAGCACTCCTCTCCCTGGAACTAATATTAATATTCAACCAGTAAGTACACGTACATACATTAGACCACTAACATCTACAAACAAAGAAGGCTAGAACAGAATAAATAATAGTACTACGTGTTATAGATGAATTGTCAGCGCTGTTGCCTAATATGCCTTAACTTTACTACTCTATATTCTTCAAATAAACAAACCGGCTTACCCTGTTAGACTCTACGTATAGTGGGAATATTACTGATACTATACTAATTATTATTATAAAATAATTATAATCATGTGTATATGTTTAAAAATCTAACTGTCGCGTAATTTATTGATCCTTACAAGGTCAGCTTGTTGCGATTTTAATGAGACGTGTATTTTCAGACTAGAAAATCAAGTTCATTTAAGTGCTTATTTCTAGTTTTTTAGCTTTTTATGCTCTTTACACCGACCGAGCCAATATTTCTCGGGAAAACGTCTCCGAGTGCCGGGACAAACTTGTGTCTGAAGTCGAGTCTCTGCTGGACAAAGTCTCGGATTGGGGGCGACTAAATCTAGTCCAGTTTAACCCCGAGAAGACACAAGTTTGCGCGTTAACCGCTAAAAAGAACCCCTTTGTCGTATCCCCTCAGTTTCAAGGCACTCCCTTGTTGCCTCAGCCAGTATCGGAATCCTCGGCGTCGACATATCGAGTGACGTGCAGTTTCGTGGTCACTTGGAAGGGAAGGCCAAATTGGCCTCCAAAAAGCTTGGCGTGCTCAGCAGAGCGGGACAGTATTTCATGCCGGCACACCGCCTGCAACTTTACAAGGCGCAGGTTCGGCCGTACATGGAATACTGTTCCCATCTCTGGGCTGGGGCTCCCCAGTACCAGTTTCTTCCACTTGACCGCATCCAGCGCAGAGCGGCTCGAATCGTCGATGACCGAGTGCTTTCCGATCGGCTCGATTCACTGGCGCTGCGAAGAGATGTTGCATCTCTTTGCGTATTTTATCGCATCTATCACGGGGAGTGCTCTGAGGAATTGTTCGGATTAATCCCAGCCGTCAAATTTCGTGAACGCACTACACGTCAAACGTCCCGATACCATCCACACCATCTGGATGCTTGGCGGTCCACCACTGTACGTTTCACAAGGAGTTTTTTTCCACGTACAACCTCTCTGTGGAATAGTTTACCACCGGCGATTTTTACGGACCGATACGACCTGGAGACCTTCAAGAAAAGAGCTTACTCCTTTTCTAAAGGGCCGGCAACGCACCCGCAATTCTCCTGGTGTTGCGGTTGATCATGGGCGGCGGTAGTCACTTAACATCAGGTGAGCCACATGCTCGTTTGCCCCTTCTTCTATAAAAAAAAACGTCGTTCTAACGGCGGTAGTCAACACAAAACCGCATGTTGCCATCCTTCTTTTTTACCAGTACCACGGGTGAACACCATGGACTAGTTGAAGTTTCAATAACACCATCCTTCACCATTCCCTCAATCATGGTTTCCACTTCCTTTTCACGTGCTACCGGCAATCTTCTTGGCCGCTGTCGGATAGGCAATTCTTCGCCTGTGTTTATTTTGTGTTGAACTAAGCCAGTCTTTCCTATGTCAGCATCGTTTGATGAGAATACATCGGCATACTTGAGTAACAACTTCTTCGCCTTGACCATTTCGGTCGGGGAGAGAACGCTGCGACAGTCTTCCAAAAGTGTGGTCACCCTCATTTGTGCATCCTTGCTGGGGGTCTCACTCGATAGATATCGGCACCGACGTAACCAATCCACTTCCTCACAAGTACCAACCAGCGTGCCTTTTTCTATAATCTGTTCCCGGTCACAAAGGTTCAGCACACGTACTACTGAGATGTCAGTGTTCCTGACCAAGGTTCGAGCTACTTTCCATGGAAGGTTATTGTTTAACCTTTCCACAAGTACACAACGGTGAGCTTGCCCAGCGTTTCGAGGAAGACTAACCGGCACAATCGTTTCTGATCTCGGCGGAAGAACAATCTTCTTAATGCTGTACACGTTCCCTGGTAACGCACCTTCCATACAAAGTACCTCCTGTCCACATTTCAAAACACCCTGCTTAACGTCGATCTCAAAACAAGTCTAGGCCAAGGATGCAGTCGTCCATTATATCAGCCACGATGACATTATGCAGGTAGATCACGTTGCCTAGTTTCAACTCCATCTCCTTTTCTCCACGGACGGGTATACGCTGACCGGTGGCTGTTACCAAATTAATGCGTTCTCGGTTGTATGCGGAGTCCCCAAGGAACTGACTTATAAGTTGGGAACTAACAACCGTACGAGAGGCTCCAGTGTCTATGGTCAGTTTACACGGCATTCCGTTGATCTCGCCCTTGATGATTAGACTGTTCCCATCATGGGTTTGTGAGATCATGATTCTTGGGACTCTTTTAACATAAGCCAGCACCCGCCCCGCAGTTCTGGTTTTTACTCGTTTCCCTGCCGCTGCTGGGCGGTGCTGATGGCCGCACTACCCTCCTGAGGTCCTTCACCTTCCCTTTATAGGGTTCGCTTAGGGCAGCTGGATCGAAGATGGCCTTTTTCCCCACAGCCATAGCACCTAGGGCTGTATCCTTGTTGCGGTCGCGTACTGTAGCTGCTGCAACCTCCCTGATGCGATGAGAACGATGATCCTGCCGCACGGCTTCCACCTCCAGTGCGTGTTCCAAGGCGTTCTTAAGTCGCGGATGCCGTCGATGAATGTCTGCACCAGTTTCCCTTCAATGAGCGCAGGTACAGACCGGTATGCTTTTCGCACCAGGTTCTCCATCTCTAGAGCCCACTGCTGCAGGTTTTCGTTGATGCGCTGCACGAAAGACGTGTTCCAGGTGAGCGTCGCCATATCTCGCCTCCAATGCCTCAAGGAGTTGCTCATAAGTCACTTTCTCACCAAGAGCTTCCAGAACTGTTAAGGCCTGATCGCGCAGGCCTAGTGTGAGAGCAGTCATGGCCTGACTTTTATTCCAGCCGTTCGCCTTCATAACAGCCTCGAACTGGATTTTGTAGGCTGACCAGGAAGAAGTCCCGTCGAACGGTGGCACCTTGAACCCACGTAGAGGAGGTGTTGTAGCCGTAGTAACGGGAGTTGTAGTTCCATCTCCAAGCTTGAGTTCGTCCAGTGATTTCTTCATGTCAGCCATTACGTTGTCAACCCGATTGTTCACTTGGTCAATTCGGGTTTCAGCTTCCGACAGGCGGTTGTCACGTTGAGCAACCTTATCCTTCACCTCCCGTATCTCTTTTCCGAAGATAGCGTGAAGGTCGTTCATGAGGAGCATCTGCTCTTCCAACCGACGGGCCTGTTCCTCTTGACGGCGGGCTTGTTCAACCTTTCCGCCCCGCAGCTGCTCTTCCAACCGACAGACCTGTTCCTCCTGTCTGCGGACCTGTTCCTCCTGTCGACGGGCCTGTTCATCCTGTCCGCCCCGTAGCTGCTCTTCCAACCGTTAGACCTGTTCCTCCTGTCGGCGAGCCTGTTCCTGCAGCATCACCATCAGAGCACCTGAGTCGGGTGCTGCAGATGTAGGAGCTACTGACGGGCCTGCAGCCGGTGGCTGGCCCTCCGACGTCTGCGGCGTTGTACCACCAAATCTTTTTTTGGTCCGTCTCCTGCTGGCGATGACTTCGGGTACGGACACCCTCCGTTTCCACCTTAGGTAAAATCGGCATGATTTTATCCCACTTCTGACACCAATTGTTACGAGCTTGAGGTTCGTGACAATAAAAATAGCCTAAAATTACCTAAATTAACACTTTAATTTCCTTTACACAAATTAAAACTTAAAACACTAATAATTAAGCACACTGGTTCACCTTATTTCGCTCCGAAGCTTCGCTTGTCTCGCCAAATCCAATACTTCCTCGATCGCATCTTGCAGCGCAAAATTCTTCTTTGTGCCATCCTTCATTGTTCTCTGACAAACGGTCTTTTCTTTGGGATGGATATACTCAACAATGTACAATTTTTTGTATCTTTCCAAATCATGATCCCAACATCTTTCTTCACTCTCCATTTGTAATTTCCTCTTTCAAGCTTTACTGTACTCTTTTTTTAGCTTTTACGAATGTCGGTAAATCAGTTCTATTTATATTGACAGTGGCAGTAGAGTAAATCCTATTGTCATAAAGGTACTGCATCAAAGGATATGAGGCAAAAAAATTATCGAAAGCTACGTGCGCTTGAACTTTCTCGTCAATTAGAGTTTTTGTCAAGTATTTGACAAAATTTGCACCCAAACCTAACTCCGGTGTATTATTTTTATTTTTTCCCGGTGTAAATCTGGAATTCGTATACATAACCAGTAGAGCTATCCGCACGAACCCAAACCTTGAATCTCCTTTTGGTGGGTTTGGCAGGCATATATTGTTTCAAAGATGATACACCCTTAAATCGTACCATTGCTTCGTCTATGCTCTGGGAAGTTGTTTGTTTAGCTTCTCTTTGACAAGTATTGTTCAAAATTTCCAAGACAGGTCGAACTTTATACAGTTTATCATATTCATTACTTGTTTTAGCAGGAGCTTTGGAATTATCATTTAGGTGAAGGTTTTCTAAAATTTTTTTCTAACTTTTTGCACGTCATTACTTGTGCTATTTCGTCGACTCTAAAAAATGGGTCACTAGACCAGTACAGATCAATAGATGGTAAAACATGAATACCCTTCAGAATAATAATTCCTAAAAAGCATCAATATCAGGCTTTCTAACCGGTTCCCAATGTAAAGTCGCCTTTTTGAGAGGCATACAAATTAGTTTGCTCAATGATGAGATCAATAACTTCTTCAGAAAAATACCTCGAAAAATAAGCCATTGGAGAAGTCCTGCTTGGAAAGAAAACTTTAGGTTTCAAGGTAACTTCATCATATTTATCTGCATTTGGCCTGTCCGGCCACATACTACCTTTTTTCCAATCATTTTCATTCTCATCATGGGAGGAAGAGTCAGTGGAAGATTCCGAAATAGTTCGAGATACTTGTGATGGTCGGACTGATCGCAAGATTTCTTCGCCTTCACTATCGCTATTTTCAATATTAGGTACTCCTATATTAGGATCAATATTTTCTCTCATTTCACCATCATTAGAAGAAAGGAAACTCACAGGACTGCGTCTTGATGGTCCATGCGTTGGATTTCCTTGATATCGAATAATATTGGTTATTTTCGAATAATATTCGCACGTATACCTAAACCGATTTCTAGGCTATCTTCGCCCTCGTACTCATCTTCCGATTCGTCTGGATTATCAGGAAGCCCAAATATTTGCTCCAGCTCATTCTCAATATCGTCATCATTTAGGTATGCCTGAAATACAAACAGGCAATGGCATTTATATTACCACCAAAACAACAGTGAACGGGTAGTAGCGTAGATACTGCCACCAATAAAAATTGAAATAAAACAAGATACCAAACGTTCAGTGCCAAAATCGCACGCAAAACATTAGCACAATACATACAAAATAATAATCAATAAGTTATCTTACCATTTTAGCCAAAATCTAAGAAGATCTAACTAGATGAAATTTTCCGTCAGATAAACACCACTTTCACGCAATTATGCCTGGCTTTGATTTGACAGCTTTGAAGTATCTGTCAATGGGACACTCATTTATGAAGTAAAAATGATCAATGTTACCATAAGTGAAAAATAAAAGGACCATCGACAATACAAATAGGAATAAAAAATAGATTAGTTGGTGGAATGCGTACTGGCTTTACCTTATAAAGAGATAAACCAGATCCACAGTTCTCTACACTCACCATACAAAACATAGCAGCATTATGCTTCTTTGGTAAACTGGTAATCTGTGAAAGCGTGGTTCTACTCCGGTAGAGGTGACCCATTCGTGCTACAACCCTAATATAGCCGCAGCGTGGCTCTACCAAGTACTAAAATACTCACAACCTATGGTTACTCTATAAAAGTAAAAAAGTAAATTTACAGCCTATTTACGTCCCACGCTGGGCGCAGGCCTGCCCTCATTTTTGAGAGGGTTATAGGGTAAGGAAGTGTCCGCCGCGCTGACCCAATACGTCTTGGTGAACTTCACGTCTTCAAAATATTTTTTCCTTATTTCTCAGACATGCAGGTTTCCTCACAATGTTTTCCTTCACCGCCGAGCACGTGCTAAATCAGCACTTAAAAATTTCCGCCTGAGATCAAACCCGGGTTACTCGCGTTCTATTATATTTACAGCGAGTGCTAACCATCTGAGCTACCACGGCTCTTGATTACTCTATGTAACGCTCTTTTGCCTTATGATTGTGTGTTGACTACATTAATGGACTCCTGAGCAGAAAATTTCCCTTCTACCATCTAAGTTACTGAAAATTAATGTAACACATGTCAGAATTATTTTTCAGTTTTGATTTTTCATCGAATATACTCGTACAGTACCTTCAGATGTACTATGGGAGCACGCGGTCTATTAAATAGTTTGTAGTTTTATTTTTCTTACGAGTAATATCATCATCATCACTATCATCAAGTTATTGCAGTCTACTGCTGGACCAAGGTTTCCACATAGAATTTCATGCATTCTGCTGCTGCTAGCCAAGTGGTGCAGATCTTTATACAATCTAGCCAGGAGGCGTCGAACTCTGCGCTTACCTTAGCACGAATACCACTCTGCGACAGGTCTATGAGAGAAAAAATCTGCAAGCCTTATGCCTAACGGTGGTACCACGTCTTTGAACCTGTTTTATTTCTAATCAAAGTCGTTATTTTTCGATTGCAAAATAAAATAGACCGTCTTAATAATGATTTCTTAAATTTACGCGAACACTACACATTGAATAAAACTAAATTTACGGATTTTATCGCGTTTATTTCACTACTTTTACTTATTTTTAATTCCCGACGTTTCGGGTGCTTTACAGCAACCATAGTCACACTGTGTATAGAAAAAAAACCCATACCAACCGATATTTAAATGGTGAATCTCACCATCATCCTTCACAGTTAGCTACCGTGGGTAAATCTTTGTTTCAGAGAGACATGAGGGATCTGTGACAGAAAACATCTGGCCGCCGAACTTCAGCACGTCAAGCAAGTATTGCAAGACAACAAGCTTCGGGTCCCGCGCCTACGTCACAGTGACCGAGTGAAGCCGGCCACAGTCGAGCGTGTACCTGCAGTACTACCATATGTCAGAGGAGTCACAGACAAGGTTGGCTACATCTTGAAGCGAGCTTCTATTAAAACATACTACAAGCCGCCGAAGAAGATTAGTCAATTGTTACCATCCGTCAAGTGTAATATCCCTCTACAAGATGCAAGAGTGTACAAGGTTAGATTGTGAATGTGGTCTCTCTTACATAGGTCAAACAAAAAGATCCATAAAAACCCGCGTGAAAGAACATATAGCTGACGTGAAGCACCGACGCTCCGGGAAGTCTGCAGTCTGCGAACATGTACAAGATCGTCCCCACCATTACATTCGATTTGATAAACCACAAATTCTCGCAAAAGAACACCGATTCCTACCAAGGATGATACGCGAGGCTATTGAAATTAAAAAACATCCAAATTTCAATAGAGAAGATGGATAGGTGCTGCCACCTGCTTGGGATCCTATAATTAACAAAATTAAACCCAAACCTAAGCATACCACTGCAAGACTTCATGATACTATGAGCTCGTTTTGCGTAAATCGGACCAAAAATTAATATTCAAAAACTGAAGGTAGCCGGACTAACTATGACATTGGGACGTCAAACATCTCAGTTCCCCCATGACCATGGTTGCTGTAAAGCACCCGAAACGTCGGGAATTAAAAAATAAGTAAAAGTAGTGAAATAAACGCGATAAAATCCGTAAATTTAGTTTTATTCAAGACCGTCTTAATTTTATTTATTTTTACAATAATCTTGTACATCTTTAGCCAACGTTTGCGACTTACAGTATTCAAATGAACGTTTGTCACTGAGGAGTCTGGAGTTTGCATTTTATATTAAATCTGTGGATATGAAAGTTTAAACTAAGGTTGATTTGTCATATCATTATAGTTCTCAAAAGCGAAACTACTCTGTAGCTTGTTTTGCGTGGAGTTGGGTGTGATGGACATGGACTACTGTTATAATTAATAGTCAGATGAACTGCTATAAAATTATGAAAAAAAAATTATATTTATGTAATTACACAATGCATAAAACTATCACTTTTATTAAGCAGCAGTGTGTATTCTGTGTTTATTTCAAATACAAAAACTAATAACTTTTAATTTAAGTTCCATATTTCTGTATAAAATAAAACTTTTGCTCCAAATTTACACACTAAATACATAAAGACACTTAGGGTCAGTTCAAACCAAGACGTGACTCATCACACCAACTCTAGAGGAATTACAGGTACTTTTCGGCCTTTTCGAAAGGAGTAAGCTCTTTTCTTGAAAGTGTCTAAGTCGTATCGGTCCATAAAAATCGCCGGTGATAAACGATTCCACAAAGATTATGCAAGGAAGAAAACTCCTAGTAAGACGCACAGTGGTGTACCGCCAAGCATCAGTTTTGTCGCGATATGAATTGGAGAAAATAAATTTATAGACGCCTTAAAAAAAAGGAGATTTTTAATTCAACTGTATGTTTTTTTTGTTATATGTATTTTAGGATCTCTCTTGGTGTTTCTACATCTTCGTTATTTGTGACCCAATTATATCGTTATTTGTTTAATAGTTTTAAAGCTATATAAATTTCGACAGAAATCTACCTCTAAACGTATTCACACATAACCATGTGTGAAAATATTGCACTATCTACGAACTTAATTCTTTCATCACTTCGTCAATTCCACCAATCATATAATATGGAATAATAATACTACGAAAATAAAGATGTAATAAAATGATATATGAAAAAAGAAATTGACAAATGTATCGGATCGGTTAACTTATTCTTAATAATTATCTGTCATTAGTCATTAATCTTTCGTAAAATAAATTACATTTTCTATATAAGTTTTTATGTAATTGAAAAAAAAAATTACCTTTATTGTTTCCTATAGTCAGTTTTTGTAGTCCGTAGATAACTGTATTTCGAGATTTTGACTTGTCTGTTAAAGCTCTACTCAAAACTTTAAGCGATACTAACACCCGGCTGAAAACAGGCCGCTGGAATTACAAGACTAGTTGTTATCGAGCCAAAAAATATTTTTGGGTGTATTTTAGCATTTTGATGATAATTATGCCGCAATCTATCAGATGCCTCAATCGATCGAGCCAACTTATTCTTACTAAATCTATATAAAACCGAACCATGGCCATACCATATAAAAGTTTTTTTTTTTTACTTAGAATTACGTTCAAGGTAGATTTGAATACTAAAGACATCCACAGGGTAAAGTGGTTTTATAGTTTCTCTTAATCCATCACCACGCGCCATGAAACATGCTGAGACCATGGACTGTCCATTTGAATGGTGATTATTAGAGATCTTTGCAACACTCAAATTTATATTATCTCTAATCCATCTGACTATGATTTTTAGTTAAATGTATACACACACCTTTTTCTATGTTACAGTTATTTCAATACACTTAAGAACTAGTTACTTAAATTGATCGTGATCCTAAAAGTCTTACTTCTGGTCGGCGTTATAAGTATTTTCAAGCACCATAGGGTTTCATTATAAAAGAGATATGAAGGACACATAATATGGCAATAATTACTTTACTTGCTGCTTTCAACCAGTATCCTTTTATCCAATAACCCTTACAGCATTTTAAAGTCCGCTGCTGAACATAGGCCTCCCCATTGATTGCGTCATATCTCCCATCATTGATTTATATAACTCATCGTGGTACTTAGTTTCCATGATCTATCACGCACGCTTTACCCAATTACGGACACGAAGAAGCGGGTATTCTAATATACAGCCAATATAATATGGTCCACGCTTGAGTATATGCATTCAATGAAATGTATATTTAAAAAAGGCATATTTCTTGGAGCGGGGATAAGTCAATAGTGCCGTCCTGACGCATTTGTTATCTTTAGTTTAAAATTTGGAATTAGTAATAAAGTGCATATTATCAATTTTTGTTTTTATTTGCTAAGTTAATAGGTTCTTAAAATTAGACTAAATTCTTATGTTATATCAGAAGGTTTTTTTAATTCGTTTGCAAATAGCTTAAATAAAATTTAATTTACATTGGACATAGTTAAAACCAACGCCACGGTACAAAATATAGATACTTACGCAGTTTCATTATTTTGTTAGTGTAGGTAGGCACTGGATTGCAGGTTTCATTTCAAATTTTGTATTCAATACCAATAATAAATGATGGTGCTTACTTACCTAGGGAAATACTTTATTTTTTGTATGGAAACTAAGTAAAATTAGGGATTATGTTATTGCAGTCATTTTGTTATTTATTTCCAAAATCAAACATAAGCGTACAGTTTGCCCTATTTGGTTCGTTTGTGGGTCCGTTTATTTGTTTACCTCTATTAAAGAATGACGATTACGGCAAATAAATCTTCGCTACTATCCAAGTGGGCCATGTTCAACTTTTTATTTACTGCTTTTGTTGATCAGTTGCAAAATGAAAAATCTGAGACACATCTAATTGTTATCAATGAACGCAATATTTTCTGCCCACTCTACGTTTAGGCCACTTACTTTGCGCAATGTTACTGAAGACGTCTTATTTTATTTATTTAGGAATCAATTTATGCCATATATTATCATTTTACACGGGTCTGGCCCACACAATGTGCTAAATTATAAAAACACTCGACGAGGCCTACATTGAGAGTCTCACTTAAAGCAGGCGTATGGTTTAATGACAGTCGTACTTACCACCGTACGACCACATACCGTCTAGTGGTGGTGTAAGAATATTCACTACCACATACCATACCGTGGGTGTCTAAGAGGTGATAGAGGGAAACAAATTAGAAGATGGACAGCAGCGTCTTCTTATGACATCTAAAAATAAAAATAAACTGCGGTCACAACCCGCTTGTCAAGCGTGGCAACTGTGGCAAAAATCCCCGCTACGAGGCAATCTAGGGAGGCCTATGTTTAGCAGTAGGCTTTAATAGACTGTAACGGTAACGGTAACGGTACTCACCACGCTTTGAAGATGGGTATTTGCTGCAATATCGTGTTTGGGTCGGTCGACCAATAACTAAATATTAAGTGTGTTACTAAATAATCTAGCTAATTATAGTGGGCCTCTTTATACTTAAGTTACGTCCAAAGAAGGATGAGATACAAAGAAGATATAAAATTAATTTCATTATATCTGTTGATTAAAACTGCTTTTACGGATTTTATCGCGTTTTATTTATTTTTGATACCCGACGTTTTGGGGTGCTTTCCAGCACCCATAGTCGCGGGGGACTGAGGTGAGAGGTATCAAAAATAAATAAAACGCGATAAAATCCGTAAAAAGTAGTTTTTAATCAATGTATAGTGTTCGCGTAAATATAAGAAATCATTATTTCATTATATCTGGTTTAAGGCCCATTATATGATGCCATTTTTGTACATATTAGAGCAATTATTGAATCAAAAAATTACCATTCAAGAATTGTGCTTAAGCAACTTGACTAAAGCAACGCATTGACAAGAAAAAAATGCTAGTGTTTTTTGTTTATACCATAAGCCAAGGGCAACCAAGTATGTTTAGGAAATTATTGCTTTGAAGTTTTAACTTGTATAAATACGGCCTTATAAGTGATTGTGTCATTTTTATTTCTTGTATTTGCAATGGCAAGTTTTTCATTTCAATCTTAAACGTTTTAGAAGAAACGTGTTTATTAAAAAAAATGAATCAAGATGTTTTCAAATTTGGTTCTGCTGATTTAATTAAGAGTTTATCGAAATCATGAATGTTTATGGGATACTGAAAATATAAATTAAAAAAATCGTGATGCACGTAATGCTGGTCTAGCAGTATTGCTCAGAAATTTGGAGTTCTAGTTCACACAGTCACACTTGGAGATCGAAAAATTACATCATTTTAAAAATCAGAGGCCACGTTCACATTTAAAAATACGCATCTTAATTTGTCGCTAAGATCTACAACTTTTTGCAACTCGTTATTTCCGAATAGCCAAAATATAGCTAACGTTAGCAAAAAGCGTTACATTTTTTTTTTTTATAGAAGAGGGGGCAAACGAGCATGTGGCTCACCTGATGTTAAGTGACTACCGCCGCCCATGATCAACCGCAACACCAGGGGAATTGCAGGTGCGTTGCCGGCCCTTTAGAAAGGAGTAAGCTCTTTTCTTGAAGGTCCCCAGGTCGTATCGGTCCGGAAAAATCACCGGTGGTAAATTATTCCACAGAGAGGTTGTACGCGGAAGAAAACTCCTTTTGAAACGTACAGTGGTGGACCGCCAAGCATCCAGATGGTGTGGATGGTATCGGGACGTTTGCCGTGTAGTGCGTTCACGAAATTTGGCGGCTGGGATTAATCGAACAATTCCTCAGAGCACTCCCCGTGATAGATGCGATAAAAGTCAAAGTTAAATAAAACTCACAGGTTGTGAGTTTATTTTAGAAATATTTTTTTTCTTACAGTAGACCTATATGACTGTCAGGCAAATAAACGATACCTTAGGTTGGTTTATTTTATTTGAATAATTCATTTGTTCACAACGTCCATTCAACGGTGTTTTCACTTAACCACTATATAGCACCAATGAGTCGGCTTGACCGGGACCATGCTCTCAAAGAATACCAGCGTAAAATAGCAGCTAAATGTTGCTACGTATCGTATGGTGAGGGTAGAGAACCGGTGACCCTTTTTATTGATAACAAGGCATTTTAAGACATTTAAAGATTAAGTCCTTAGGGGTGGCAACGTATTGTGCTGTTTAATTCTTAATTTATAATAAAAGTGGGTGTCTTCTGAATAGGGTATTCACTTTCATTAAATATGACTCATTTAAAATATTGATATAAAATATATGTTATTTAATAATAATCAGAACATTAA